CCAGTATTATGGATTAAATTTTGGTGTGGTAGTAGTGGAGAGTCGATCATAACACACGCTCCCAGTAGGCCTGTCGCAATAAACAATAAATCAATTAATCAATTAATCGCATGATAAATGAAAATGATCGACCTCATTTTCATTTATCGGCTTTATCGTTTATTCGTGTCTCTCTCTTTCTACTGAAGACACTGGATGACAAAAAGCTCAACTCTGGTGTTCTTCACTGACCCTTCCCTTTCTCTTTTCTCTTTAAAATTTGTTTTAACCGTCCAAAATCACGTTTTTGGATCGTTAAAAGCAGCTAAGCTACGAGGTAAGCTAACAGGCCGACCTCGGAAATAAACCTCCGTCTTGTCAAAGCTCTAAAATTCACGGTTGAAACTTGTGCCTTTATGCAAAAAGTTGTTTTTCTCTGCAAAAAGAAGCTGAGAACTTGTTTACGGATTTTATTATTAAAAGCTTTGTGTGACAAATGCTATGCTAAAAAGCTTAAACCACACCGAGCATCCGCCATTTTGAGAACCAAAAAACATGAACGAGAGACAGCCCATGTCACGTCAAGGGGCCTCCCTCCCATTTTTCTTAAAGAGACACACTGCTCGCTCACTCACTATCCATCCTTTGGTTCACACAGTCTTATACTGACATCCAGTGGTCAAAAAAGGAACTACACACAAAAATTAACCAACATTTTTTCTTGAATTTGACAATTACTAATTATCGTCAAATTTCAAACTATATTATCGTTAAACGCAATAATTTCTGAGACAATCGCCCAGCAAAATTTGTTATCGTGACAGGCCTAACTTCCTGTTCTGTGTCGTTTACAACCTAAACTGATAAAAAGTCTATCTTTTCATCTTAAAGTTGTTTTACTTTAAAACTCTGGTGCGAAAAGTGATTTTCATTCCTTCAATGAATGCTGCGCTTTTAATTTGAAGCTATGAAAATATAGGACGATGAATTTACACTTTTTTTTATAATTTATAAGAATGACACTTCATTTTAATCATAGTTCAGAATGTCATTACGCAGAATAGAGGACTCTTTTTTTCAGTAGATGTTTGAGGTTTGCCTCGTAGGATCTTCATGACGATGTCTGCAGAAAACGCAGTTTTTAAGGCATTTAAGATGGAATGTAAAATGTAATGTTTTCCATGTGGGCTGTCTCTGCTGTCCAAACAAATCCAGCACTGGTTTCTTTATGGACTCACTTCCCACCCTCTGCCCATTTTCACATTTTCAAACAAACATTTGCGTGATACAAGAATGTTTTTTGTATTTTCCCCTCCACATTTTTTTTCATTCAACCTTTATTTGGACCGGTAGATCCCATCGAGCCTCGAGGACTCATTTACAAGAGAGACCTGGTTTCAACAAAGAATGAGGACAACAATGGACAACAGCGACAACAATAAACAAACAGTTATAAAAAGTCATACACAGTTGACACCGTTGTTACCTTGGCTACTTTTATGCTTTGGCTACTCTCTGTTCTGGGTGTGATGGTCCCACATTTCTTATTGGGCTTGACACGTGATTAAATATTAGAATAATAAACCTGTTTGGACTGGGAATGCAGTGGGACACCACCCCATCCCTCACAGTTTGCTGGCCTCGTGTTCAAGTGTTTTTACACACGTTCCTGTGTGAGACCGTAAGCCTGGAAAATACAGGAACGCATTTATCCTCTTACAGTTTTTCACTGTCCACCCAAAACGTGTCTTAATTTATGACACAACTTACTAACATACATACTGGTTCATATGAAACAGTTCAAGAATGTAAATGTTAATTTATTCATTTTAATTCATTATGTTCTTACATTTTTGCAGCATTTTTACCAGATTACATGCCGTGATTTAATCTCTTTTCAGTCTTTTTAACAAATATAAGTGACAAAAAGCCCCTTGCAAGTTACAACTGGGGACATGGTGAAAAAAGTTTAACCATTGCTGGTTTTCAGCTGCACCTCACATATGCTTAAGTTAAAAAAAAAAAGCTTTTTTTTTTTTAAAGGCTAATTAATTCACAATACAAAGGTGGTTGATGAACATGGAAAAGCTGGAGCATCATGTTCTAGATTTGGATTAGTCCAACATAACGCAAAATGAACGACTTTTTAATGGTTTTTAAATTTTGTATTTATATATAATTTCACCAAACAGGCAAATGTATTACATAAATGTGTCAAAAAAAGGAAGTATGGAAACATTTGTAGCTTATTTTTATAATCTGCATTAGCTGTAAAACTGCACTTAATTCACGACGAACTCTAATAATATAATTAATTGCTTTGTTTTGTTTTCTGTTTCTTTTGGGATACAGATATTTTAATGACGGAGTTAGCTGGAACATTGTTAAACCTTTGGCCTCCAGATTAAACTCTAATCTGTGTCCTAATTCCTCTTGTCTGCCCTCTTTCTATGTGCAGAGTCAGATTTTAGTCGGTTCTGTCGTCTTCGTGGCCTGGTCTGCTACAAGCATCCAATTTAAGCTTAATTGTTGAAAATGTTCCTGCTACTTCGATGGAATAGGATTATTTGTGTGTCAGTCTCTTAAATCTGTGTAGAGGAAGAAATACAGAGCAAATGATCAAGAAGTGAATTTAAAGTGCATTACAAAAAATGTTGAAATGGAAAGAAACTTGACTCTTATAATTTATACCTGTTAGCATTTTTATTCCCCCGATAAGATGAACCTCCATTTACAACAACCGTTCAGGAAGAAGTTTGAGGGCGCCTCAGGATGAGTTTCTGAGACCGGTTAAGTTGCACAAATCTACTTTATCTGCTCTTACTTACAAATCCAAAGCTCCCCGTGGCTGGAAACCAGTAGTTACTTTTCCTCCTAGAATAGCGTTTGATTTTTAAAAAATATACTGTATATTATGTGTTTTATTTTAGGTCAGTTTCATCCCAGTTCTGTTGAGTCACATTTACACTGGGATTGTCTTCAAAGATGCCAGTTTGTTAAGTGGTTGTAATGAAATGCTGAATATTTTTTATTTTCTGTGAAAATAAAGAGTGAGCACTGAAGGATTTCTGCTGTTGAAGAATGAATGGCTAACCAAATTGCTAAAGTTAAGACCAGCAGAGTAAAAGACAAAATAGGCAAAACACTTGCTAAAAGCTAAATTTAACAGAACTGTTGCAAAAAGCTCAGTTTGACAAAACTGTTGCTAAAAGCTAAATTTGACATAACTGTCACTAAAAGCTAAATTTAACAGAACTGTTGCTAAAAGCTAAATTTAGCA